TCAGAAAAAGATGGATTCTAATGTAAGCAAAACATGGCGGCAGCAGCGACCACAAAAGGATAGAAGCACTGACTAGCAAGATGCAAAAAGAACTTCCCTCTTGCAAATCTTTGTATCTGGGCCTTCTGGAAAGGTCTGTCCACTCTGGTGGTGGGGGGAATCTACTCCATTCATTTTACCCTTGCTGCAAACACCCTCACAGACCACCCAGAGGCATGTCTCTTAGTGGATTCTAGTTCCTATGGACTTGAAAGTCAAGATCAATCATTACACTTGCTCTTCTCCTATCAGAATCCCATACGGGGGTAGGGGAGCACACCATAAGAAATTTGCTTGATGATCTTAGATTCTAACTCTACGGTGCAGAGATAGGACCCTGTTAGTCATCATGACCTGAGTCCCAGAGGCTGGCCAGCCTGTTAGACCCCTCTGCATAGGGTTTTCTGCTAGTGGTCAGCATGCTGTCCTATCTCATCACTCTTGGATGAAGAAGGAATATTAGAAATACTTATCTAAAAAATTCATTCTTTGAGCTTTCTGTTTTTAGAAACTATTCTCTGCCTATTATTAATGCATCCATTCCTCCGAGAGAGAAAAATTGATTAGACTTTAAGCTTTATGTTGTGGCACCCATTATGTTACCATAAATAGAGCATAGCTGCACTTGGAGTTCCTGAGAGCCTTACATGCAGATTGTTTCTTGGAATGTTTTACTTGGCTGGGGGACTGATTGCATGATTGCATGATTACAGGTCACACTCAGAAGGTGACATTAATTCTGTGCTTTAGAGGTGTTGGTGGATGTTAAGTACCAATGGCAGTATTCTGCAGATTTGTGTAACATCATTCCTTTGAGAGATATTCTCTGCATTATCAGAGTTGTACTGTTTAACTCTTGGCAAGAACCAGCTTCTTGCCAGGTGGACTTGTAAAATGACCACTTTCAACTCAAAGATGACTTAAAAAAACAGGATTTTCACAAAAGCCCGGCACCGACAAAGATAACACTGATAGGAGAAATGCTTCATTTTGTCTCTTCTCCCCCAAGTCTTATTAAAGAGTTCTTCCTCCTGACACATTCAAGCAATGAAAATGTGCCTAAAGGCTTGTTTGTTGGCACCAAGCAAACAAATTCTATTATTAAGTAATAAAGGCGGTCAGAATTCATGGTATCAGACTTGCAGGGAATGGAGAAAAAGGGAAATTTGTATCCTTTAGTGGTAAGAAAATGCCACTAAACTCACAGTCAAAGGCCAGCCAGCTACGTGGCTGATGTTTTGAATATCCCACTCAGGAGTGGGCTACATGTCCCAAGGGGGAAGATTTGGAGCAGAGAAGTGGCATGATCCCATCAAGTGTCCGTGTGAGACAGCCCACTGTGGGGCAATGAGAATAAATGGGGGGAAAGAGGCCTGTGGAGAGAGTTAGGGAGAGCAGGTAGGTTGCAAAGGATGAAGACCCAGAGGCAATGCACAGGACAACAGCTGTAGCTGAATGCCAGTCATGATTTTAAAGTCATATCAGAAAACGAATGACAGGCAATACCAAGACATACAGAACGACCCAGAAAAGCAGCTGCAGAAGGACCCTGACTGTAGGCAGAACTGGATACTGCTGCAGGTTGTAAAGCGAAGGAGAGGCACTGTGGTCTCCTTTGACTTAGTGATGCTCTCTAAGAGTCAGTCTGTGAATTTATAAATAGGGAAGATTAGAAAAGACAATAAAGCGAAGGGAATGGCAAAGTGAGTTATTTTGCTTTTGATTTTGAGACAGGAGTGAATTGATGATGGCAATGGTAGAGAGCAAGAGGGTAAGGATGCTTTCAGAAGGAGCAGTAGGGAAGGACCTGATCTCAGAGAAGACGTAGAGGGGTGGGATGGCAGGCGCATTATCATATGTGAGACAGGAGGCCTTTTTTTTCAGATGGAAGGTCAGGACTGACAGCTATGGATTAATCACACCCAGCAGCACTGTGTCCTCTGAACAGGCAGCATGACTGAGTGAGATGTTAGAAGGGCAGTGAATGGTCAAGACAGTAGGAGAACTGAATGTGTAGAGTGGCCACTGAGAGAACTGGGGCTTGAAATAGAATTGTTAAGGCCTATAGAAGGCCTAGCAAATTGGATGCCATGGATTTATCAAGTCACCAGCCCTATGGGCATCAGGTCTAGGGATATCTATGGTTGGAGCTGTATTTCTTCAGTCACTTATTTTGCAAGGTGTGAGGGGATGTCAGTGGAGGTAGGCATCAAGGAAACTGGCGGAATGTGACAGATGTGCTAAGTGCTATGGGAGACGCATAGCGAGACAGGCTTGCACAGAGGCAGGTGAGCAGCAAAGGCCATCTTGCAGAGGAGCGTTGTCGAGGAGGACCATTGTAGTCGTCTCAGCTTGTTGGTCTGGGAAGCTTTACAAACCAAATTAGTCTCCATGTTCTAGCACATCTCCAGGGAGAGAATCACTGTGCTAGCCAGGACATGTCTCTCTGGCGGTGGAGGGGGTGGCATGGCGGAGATGCTTGCTGTGGAGTTTGGTCATGAATATATAAGCCCGTAATTTTCTGTTTGAGATAATTGAGTAAGAAGTTTTCATCAGAAAATTACAATGAACTGGAATTAAACAGCAGTAATAAGACTTGGAGGGGACAGAAACAGAAATCATACTTGGAGCCTGCAGAATCCCCCCTCGAGGTTTGAGGTGGTTTAGACAGTGCCTCTGAATTCTGTTCCTCTTTCTTTCTCTTCACCAGCAGCTCAGAGCACACTGTGAACTAGTGCCAGGTGGACATCTCCTTGTTCATCTCCTAAAGTGAGATCCTTGTAGAGGACTCTGATGCCATTTGCTTCTGTGGCTCGCCATAGCCAGGACTGCTTTCACCTCCACCCTTATTGATACCAGTCCTTAGGATTGGACTCTTCTGAGCAGGTCTCTGGGTTGGGGAGCAGCTTACACATCAGCCCTGCCTGGACTCATGGCTTGTTTGACCAGATGCTTCTGACTCAGAGCCTTTGGAGTTCCTACTTTTTCATCTTGACTGCTCCCCACTTCTGTTCCCTTTGATTTATCCGAAAGTTGCCTGCCAATCAGATGTTAAAGGGCGCTCACCATCACATCCCTTTTGGGCTGCATGCCACTACCTAAGATGGAATCTGTCATCCAGTCATGAGTTTTTCACCTCAGAGCTTAGAAGGCCTTTGTTCCCTTCCTCCAGAGTGTCTTAGAAAGGTGGAGAAAAGGAAGAAACTGAAGGTTTTGAATGAAAAAAAGGGACAGAGAGACACAGAAGGCAAAGGGATCTAGAAGGCTCCCTGTCTGTTCTCTGGGGATTGAGGGACTGCCTGCAAACAGAGGTGTCTGTAGCCCCAGTGGTGATAAGAATAATTGGCCTGAACTGAGTGGCCTGAGGATAGATTTCAGTGATGAATTTAGAGCAAGAAGACAACAGTTATTTATTGGCTTCTGTATGTCAGATGTTCTCATACATACCCCACTTAATCCCTTTAGCTACTTTACTGGGAAGAACTAAGAAAGAGAAACTCACAGGCTGAAGGCTAAGGCCAGAGTGAAGCCCATAAGGCAAGGTCAGCCACACTAACTCCAAAGACCTTGTTGGCTTCTCCAGACTCCATCCTGTTGTCTCCACTATGCATCAGGTACTCTCATCTGATTTGTATGCAGCCTGCCTGGTCTGTAGCTGAGCAAAGCTAGTTTGTTTTTATTAAGATAGATACTCTCCAGTTTAAGGAAAGGTGTATGAGACAGTTCTGCTGGCACCTGGTTGTCACCGTTCCACAATTGAACATTACAAAGCCATCGTAATTTAAAGCATTGCTGACTGGGTAATTCACTTCATTAACGGTGCTGCCTGAAGAAAACACGTTACAAATTAGAAATAAACAAATGCCTGTGAGTGCAATAATACATGGGAATTGCACAGGAAGTCCTGTTAGGAAAGAGTGGAGGAGGGGGAGTGGTGGGAGAAGGAAGGTCAGACAACGACTTAGGGGAGTCAGTTCTCTCCTTCCACCCCATATTTCAAGAACTGAAATCAGGTCACCAAGCTTGGAGCCATCTTGCTGGCCCTCAGAGAGACTTTGCGAGCCCACAGGTAACCCACACCCAGTAGTTTCAGAATGCACCTTTGAGAAATATTGTAGAGTTAGTCGTGAATCTATTTTGCTCTTCTCTTTACCTGCATGCCCCCTTCTCTCTCGCCTCGCATACCCAGGGTGTAAAGAAGTGCCGTCTGTCTTGTCTTTGTCCAGATCTTAAATCTGTTTGCTTGGCTCCCCGCTGGTTGACTCAGATACAGTGTGTCTCCATTGAACACTGTGTCCATGACCCTCACTGTGTCTAAGAGTGAGTTAGTTAACATGCTCGTGTCCATGAGATTCTTTTATTTCTGAGAGTCAATTGAACAACATGCATCTGTCCATGAGGCTCCTTGTGTGCTAGAGTCCATTTCCTTTGTCCTATGCTGTTTTTTAGTTTGCTTATATCCTACCTCTGATTTTCTGAGTTCATAAAAGCAAGCATGTAGGGCTCGTTACAACATTCAGAGGCCAGCTCCACCTGTGTTCTTCATGGAGCAAACATTAATTTCCTGTGTCTCTGAGCTTCTTATCCAAGACAGCTATTTTTTTTTAAAAAAAAAGGCTATTTACATACAGTGATTAAAACCACTCAGTAGCATCTTCATTAAAGCTACTAACCTGAAAATGCAAAATAAATAAAAAAAATAAAAAATAAATGGAAATACAATGCCTTCAACATGGATTTCTTTTCAGTTTGACTTTACTATGTAATTTTTTAAAAATTTAGACCCATCACAGGTGAAAATATCAATTTCCTTTTCCAGTGAAAAATTTGATAATGAAATGAAAACCAGACTTCATTTGGATATATACCTTATCAATGAAATCTGACTTTTGTTAATAATATCTTACATACTTTCGTTTTAAATCAGTCTTTTTTTTTTTTCATTCTCTTTCATGAAACAGCACATATCTGGAGGAGAAGTCAACTCAGCTGACAGAGAAATGCAAAAATCTGCAATCTGACTTGAAGTCTTTATTTAACAAAACGAGACGGTAAGTTCCACTCTTCACATTCAATTTTAAGTAAGTGTTTTGTATTCAAAGCATTCCGAAGCATATTTGAAATCATTTGGAAAATAAGGTTGTGCTCACTGCAGGATTGTTGGCTCTGAGAATGTCCCCTTGTTGAGGAGGATGGGGGAGGGATGACCCGTGCAGAGCAAGGTCATCCCCTGGCTGTAGGACTCAGCTTATCTGTCCCAGAGCCACATTTATTATGCACTATGTATTCTAGCTGAAATTTAAAGCCTGCACACCCTTCTGAATTTGATGTGTGGTTGAGGCATTATCCTGGGAAAATGCTCACTTGAACAAAATTTTGCTTGCAACTTCAAGTTCATGGTTTACCTCTGGCCCCAGCTGTGGCTCACCCATCATCACTCACAGACTTTCAATAATCTACTACATCCTCTTCTTCAAACTAGGGAACAGGCAAGTCAAGATCTCTACACTTGATGCATGGAAGAGGCATTGGTGGCCTGAGATTCTGATATCAGGGTCACTGCTTGGATCATAGCTGGAAAGACTAGCAGTGTTGGACTGAGGTTCTGTGCGTGAAGCTTGGAGTTGGGTTGTGCTTGTAATTCCCCTTATGGAGGCTGGATACATACATACATACATACATACATACATATATACATACATATATATGTATATATACATATATGTATGTGTGTATGTATGTATGTATATGTGTATGTATATATATATATATATATATATATATATATATATATATATATATCAAGTGGTAGGAACTTGTTTAACACACACAAGCCCTAGGTTCAATCCCAGTACTGCCAAAAAGAAAACGAAGCGTGTGTGTGTGTGTGTGTGTGTGTGTGTGTGTGTGTGTGTGTGTGTGTAGGGGGGAAACCTTCCTGAAAGAACATGTTCTAAGTTTCATTTTGCTGTGTGCTTAGCTGATAGGGTGGTGGGGGTGGGGGAGGGGGATAGTAACAAGAAAAAGATGGAGCTGATTTCCTCCCAGGAATCTGTTCCAGGGAGACTGACCCAGGGTCCATCATCATGCTTTCCTTCCATTCTTTATGTTAATACCCCCCTTACTTTTCAATTATAAAAATGGTGCTGGGGGAGGAAGGCATTGAGCAGGTAATCCACTTTCTCTCTTTCCTGAGTATGTGGGAGACTGACCTGAGCAGAGAAGCCAAGGCAGGTGGCCGGGTCCAGCCTGCTTTACAACTGCACCTTGGAACAAACCAGTTTAGGACTTTTACTTAATACATTGATCCCTCCAGCAGGCTGCTTCCTGACTAAGGTAGAGCTGAGTGTTAACCAGGATCCAGGAGACAGGACCGTTGGAAAATGCTGTGCAGGCTGTGCACTTTCTTGGGTATAACAGAGAGATGTTTCACAATGGTGCCTGCTTTGTGAAGACTCTCATGTACCTCACATAGAAACCTCATTGACTGTTCTAGACCAGGTCTACCGGGGGAAGGCCCGACCAACATGGTAACCCTTGATGTCCCATGTGTCTCTGTGTTTTGTCTGAGCCTCCTGACTATCAAGATCCTTGAAATTATTAGAAAGCGTAACAATGTTAGTGGGCTCTGAGTTGAGTTGATCTGGTTGGACATCCTAATCCTGTACAAAGGATGGACTATTAGTGACTTACCCTCTTTTTGTTCCGATCCAGATGAGTGCTAAGGTTCCTGGAGAAATTGCCCATGCTGTGTGGCCCCCATGCCACACCCAATGCTGATGCTCTGCTCGCCCATAACAGCTCCCCAGTTTTCTGCTATCTTTGTTCAGAAAGGTGGACCTACCCAGTCTTCATCAGCAGACTCTGGGATCTTTTACTGTTTGTGTGTTTGTTGGATTTGAACATGTGGGAACATGCATAAGAAATCAAGAAGCAGGGGGAAGAAAAGAGAGTGCTCTCCATGCACAGCCATTCCAGGTTTCCAGGTCACATCACTGGCCAAAAGAGGAACATGACTTTATGACTGTCTCCCTGCTCCCCATATCTGTCTCTCTCTGTCTCTCTCTGAATCTCTTGTCTCTCTCTCCCTCCTTCCCTCCTCCATCCCTCCCTCCTTCCTCATTACCCTCTCCCTTCCTATCAACCCAGTGATACATTGTTAATAGTACATGCAATCTGCCCTCACCCTTGAGAGCAGTCCCTTCTATAATTCTTTAAATTATACAGTTTGAGTTCTCTGTGGGACCCGCAGTGGCCTGAGCTTACTGCAGACTGCTTGGAACACCCGTGTCAAGACTTCTCAACCTGTGCTGTATCCTCACTGGACTCAGAGTGGCTTCTGCCTTGTAGATGGCACTTCACATTTGTTTCGATCCTGTCGGGCCCGTTGTGTTGTTTTGGGGCCTGTGGGTGTTACGAGGCTTTGGTCTAGCATTTCCAGAGAGACTCTCAATCCTAAACCTTTTGTAGTTCCCGTCACATAGCAGGCACATGAGGCCAAGAAACAAGACAACTGGAAGAAGAAAACATGGTTCTTTGCTCCGGCATTGCCCTGTGGAAATCTGTGTACGCCTTCCCTCAAATACATGTCAGCATATGGCCCTCACCTCTCACTGTCTTTCTCGCTGATGTTGTCCAGTGTTACTTCTTAAAGTCCCCAACGGAAGGATGGTCCCTCTCTGCACATCCTGGCAAAGTACTGAGTCAGCATGGGGGGAAGTTCTCTAATATTCTGACCTGAGGTCAGGGAACTGACACCTCTGGGTGTGCTGGGACAGAGCAGTCAACTGCAGCATGCTAATGAGAATGACTGGGCACATGCTCTCCTGTGCCTTTTCTCAGTCTTGATGGCAAGACCTTTCCTAGCTGCTCTTCTGGGGCTTGCCTTCCCATTACACACACACACAATTTTCAACTAGCCCATATAATTAGCCTGCACTAGGATTCTGTGCAGCAGAGGTCTAGGGAGAGCAGGCACAAAGGGCCCACTGCTAGGAAAGCGTTATTCTTGCACACAGGAGACTAATTTTTTTTTTTCAGTTGTATTGTCCATTGTCAGGAATTGTGCATTCTACAACCAGGGGACAATTAGGAAACTTGCAGGGGACAATTGGGAAAGCCATTCAGTGTATGGTGATAAAAAAAAAAAGCAATTTCATTTTCTTAGAAATAATTATTTAGCCCTATTTTTGTCATGGTCTGTTAAAGACTTAGAATTTTCTCTTTCATCGGGCAATTTGTCCCTTTCAGGTTGCTAAAACAGGGTTTAGGAGGCAGAGTTACAGTGGGAGGGAAAAGCACTCTTTTTTTCTGCCTAGTGTTGACTACATTTTTGAATAAAAGAACAATTAAGCAGTAGAATTAGGATAATCAGTAGAATGAGTCTTATGCATGGCAATTTCTCTCTCTGTTTCTGTCTCTGTCTCTGTCTGTCTCTCTATCTCTCTGTCTCTGTCTCTATCTGTGTGTGTGTGTGTGTGTGTGTGTGTGTGTGTGTGTTATATTTACATGTACTTGTTAATGAGGTTATGTGGACATGTGCATGCATTTGTGTGCTTGTCCCTGAAGGCCGGAGGTGGATGTTGAATGTCTTGTCAATCATTCTCCATCCTCAGCCTGAAACAAGGTCTCTCACTGAATTCAAAGCTCATCAACTTTGCTAGTCAATTTGGCTGGCTATTGTGCTTCAAGAATACGTCTATTTCCTCCTCTTTCTGCAACTGAGGTTCAGGCATACAACAGCTCTCCTGCCCTTTAGGTGGATTCTGGGGACCAACCACACTGTGGCCCTCATGCTTACACAGCATGCACTTTACCTACGTCCCCAGCCCCAAGATTCTTTATTCGCTGTTTAAAACCATGAGCTTCAAGGTGAGCAGGGCATTGTTTTTAGTTCTGTCTCTCATGCCTATACATGAATTAGTTGCTTCATAAACATTTATGGAATAAGTAAATTAATTAAGCCTGCAAAAATAACTGCTATACCATATAATCTATAAATATTAAAAATTAATCACTCAAACCAGAAGTTTTAACTCTTTTGATGCCAATTTTCCTTTCTGTGGCTCTTCTCATTACTTTGGGCTTGTGCCTTTTTTGGGGTTGATTTTCTAACTGATCCATTGCCCCTGACTGCCTCCAGGTTTCTCCAGTATAATCCTTTTCACTGGGTTTTCTACCAGGTAGAAATATTAAACTGTATTAAAAATACAATCTTATCATTGCTAGTTTTCCCATTTCTCATTATGGCAAACATTATTTACATATCTTTTGCTCATATGTCTAGAAAAAGTGGTGGTTTTTCTGACTCTGTTGTTATTAGTCAGATTTTCTTTGTTGTAAGCAGTACCAAAGACAAATGAACTTAAGAAGAGAAAAGGAATTCTGGGGCCACAGTTGTAGATGCTCCTGTACACGATTAGACAGATACAAAGCATTTAGGCCTCTGGTGGGAAAGCAGCATGTTGTGGCAAAGCAAAACTGTTTCCGACATGGCTGGAATATAAAGTCACAGAGAATCTCAGAGTTCTCTTCAAAGGCTCATCTCCAGTAACCGAAATCTTCCTACCAGGCTCCACCAGGAAAGGTTCTAGCATTCTCAAGAGTGCCAAGCTGGGGACTGAGCCTTTCATGTTTAAATTTTGAAGGATATTTAACATCCAAACGCTAACAATTTTTGAACTTTCTCTTCTTTGTGGGTCCACAACTCCCTCTACAAATTATAGTTATGTTTATTTAGTTTCCATTGTTTGGCCAGAATGATGAACTACTCTAGTGAAATCTCTCAGAACACAATGTCTTAATGCAAACTTCTATTTGCCAACTCACAGTGTTCAATATTCCTTCCTGATGAGGTGGCTCCCTTGGGAGTCTTCCCCCTGAATATTGACTCAGTGATTCTGATAGTTACCTCTAACAGGCAGTGCCCTGGAAAGACAAAGGAAAATCTTGTATTCTATACCGCTTACAGGAGACTCCAGTTATACTCGCATTCTACTGACTGCTTTAAGTTAAGAAACCGTGAATGGGTTTGATGTGGGGTTGGTGTTCA